GTGGTTGAGGCCCCTTCCCTGGAGATATTCAAGGAGAGGCTCGACGAGGCCCTGGGCAACCTGGTCTAGTTGGGGGTGTCCCTGCTGACTGCGGGGGGGTGGGACTAGATGGCCTTTGGAGGTCCCTTCCGGCCTGGGCAATTCTATGATTCTATGAAAGAACTCACCCAGAACAGGGCTGTCTCTTGGCTGCCTGGTGTCCTGGGGAAGCTGTGTCCTTAGTGTTCCTTCCTTTTCGGAGAAAAAGAGGAGCAGGATGAAGAGAGCACTGTCCTACCAGGGGCTCAGGTGGTGGTTTGGGAGCGGGGCTGTTGTCTCCACAATGAGCAGCTTCGCCTCCATCTCCCCGGTGAGAGAGGGAACCAAACGAGACCGTGATAGAACTGTCCCTGACGTGCTCCGTGGGGAGAGATGAGGTCACAGGGGGAGAAGGGAGATGATGTAAGAAGGTGTATTCCCCACACATCCTTCTATCCCACACCCACGTCCTCGCTCCTGGCTTGCTGCGGGAGGGCTGGCAGCAGGGGACACTGCTCTGCCATGGGCAGCTGGTGTGGATTCTGCTCTCTGTCCTCGCTGCCGTGTGTCCCTGCCCTGGGGACAGCCCTCCAGGAGAACAGCACAGCTTGGTGCTGCTGATCACATCCTTCAGAAAGCGGGGAAACGTTCCAGTCCAGCACCTTCCCCAGAAGGTCCACTGCCTTCTCTCAGTTTCTAGGACACGAAGCTCTGCTGTTCCAGGGCCTCCCTATCTCAGCCTGTTCGTTACCCACGTTCAGCCGAGTCCTGCTCGTTAGCGAGTGAAAGCTCCGTGTGCCCATCATTAGCCAGGTTATGTCAGGACTGGCCAGGATGGTCAAGGATGATCCTATTTCTTCGATTTTACTGAAGGGAAAATAGCAGTTTGAGGCCTTTCATGTTATCCTGAGATTAAGTGACCTAAAATCATATAAAATAGGGCTAAATCATAGACAAATCATAGAAAATAGGGCCAAAGGGGACCTGGGGAATCTATCTCCTGTTTGAAGGCACCTCGGCCTCTGTCCTCTCTTTGCAGATGCTCATTCAGGAGCTTCCTCTCCACTGGTGGAGTTTGCCTTCCCTTCCTCAGGAATTCAGCTCCCATTCCTGCTTCTCCCGGTGCCCAATTTGAATGCTCACACTGTAGTTAAAGCCAGTGCTTCTTTGTCCAAAAACTGAATATTTACTTTTCTTCATGTTTACCCTTTAAGCGTATAAAATCTAACATTGGGATGGTTATGTGGCTCCTCAGACCAGAACCGTGTTTCCTCTGAGTCACATTTTCTGAATTTTTGATGTTTCTTGTTCTTCCCTGAACCGGCTCAGGGCCGTTTGCATCCCCCTCGAGCTGCAGTGCCCCAACCCCCGGGTGATGTGCAGATGAGCAGAACCTGTCGCGTGTTTTTGTCTTGTGGTTTTCCTGTTCCTGTGCCCCTTCCTTAGAAAAACACGAACCTGACTCACGTTCTCCCGGTGCCCAATTTGAATGCTCACACTGTAGTTAAAGCCAGTGCTTCTTTGTCCAAAAACTGAATATTTACTTTTCTTCATGTTTACCCTTTAAGCGTATAAAATCTAACATTGGGATGGTTATGTGGCTCCTCAGACCAGAACCGTGTTTCCTCTGAGTCACATTTTCTGAATTTTTGATGTTTCTTGTTCTTCCCTGAACCGGCTCAGGGCCGTTTGCATCCCCCTCGAGCTGCAGTGCCCCAACCCCCGGGTGATGTGCAGATGAGCAGAACCTGTCGCGTGTTTTTGTCTTGTGGTTTTCCTGTTCCTGTGCCCCTTCCTTAGAAAAACACGAACCTGACTCACGTTCACCTAGATCTTTTTTTAGCACTAGTGTCAAATCAGTTTTTCATTTTCATTATACAACTATTTCTGCCTCAACGTGGAACTTTGCATTTGTTACTAAATTATTTTTTTTTTTCCCAAACCACTCCTCCCACATGTTAACATTGTGGGTTCTTGCACTCTGAAACTTCATTTGCCTCCAGATCTGGTACCACACTCTACTCCTTCATTCAAATCACTGCTGAAACCATCGGGTAGCACTGGGACAGAACAGACTCCTGTGGAAAACCCGTGGGGTTTCCCTTTAGAGCAGTTTTACAGATGGTTTTACAGCCACCGGTTTCATCTAGTCCGGGGGAAAATTGCTGAAATTCCATTCTTAATTTATCACTTGTGATTAAAGAATCATAGAATTGTCTGGGTTGGAAGGGACCTTTCAGATCGAGTCCAATCGATCAACCTCACTCTGATAAACCTCATCACTAACCCATGTCTCGAAGCACCATGTCAACCATCTTTTAAATCCCTCCAGGGATGGTGCCTCAACCCCTTCCCTGGGCAGCCCATTCCAAGGCTTAAGAACGCTATCCATCTCAAAATGTTTCCTAATCTCCAAGCTGAACCCCCTCTGGGGCAACTTGAGGCCATTTCCTCTTGTCCCATGGCCTGTTCCTTGGGAGAAGAGATGCCCCCCCCCATTACGAAAGATGACATCTTCTAATATTAAGATTTCAGACAGAGTGCCTATCTCCCTTTATCATCGTGTTAGCATTGCTGTGTATTGATTTTTTTAAATGCTTCAGCTTAAGTGCCCCTTTGCCATGTCCTCTGAAGCAAGTCTGGATGTATTGGGACCTTCTGAGCTGACTGGGATCCTCATTTGAGTTCTCTCTTGGTGTGCGATGAGACTCAGTGATGGGCAGTGGGCTCTCCCAGCCTGCACAATGTGCCACTCCTTTTGCAAGGGCTACTTAAAAAAATATTGTTTATTAATGTCCTAAGAATGCAATTTTACCTTAAAACACTAAGGTGAGCTTTACGAGAATTATTAATTGCTGTTCCCCCCACCAATAAAGTTAGAAGTGGGATAGCAAGGACTAACGATGAAGACAAAGAAATAAATGGACTTCAAAACCCAATGTGGCGAAAATAAATAGGTTTATTAAAAGACTTACAGTCACCCTTTAGGAGCTGGGGCTGGTTATAGACCATGTTGGCCTAAATGAAAGTTGCTTTTGATCTCATAAAAGTAAAAGTAAACATCGTAACAGTCTAAGAGGGCTGTGTTTGGGGCTTATCTCTTGGGTGCAGGCTGGGAGTGAAGGGTGTGGGATGCGACCCTGGGGGACTCTGTCCTGAGCATCTGGAGCACAAGTCTTATGAGGAGAGGCTGAGGGAGCTGGGGGTGTTCAGCCTGGAGAAGAGGAGGCTGAGGGGAGACCTTATTGCTCTCTCCAACTCCCTGAAAGGAGGCTGTAGCCAGGGGGGGTCGGTCTCTTCTCCCAAGGAACAGGCCATGGGACAAGAGGAAACGGCCTCAAGTTTCCCCAGGGGAGGGTCAGATTGAAGATTGGGAAACATTTTGACACAGAAAGGGTTCTTAAGCCTTGGAATGGGCTGCCCAGGGAAGGGGTTGAGGCACCATCCCTGGAGGTATTTAAAGTACAGATTGACACGGTGCTTAGAGCCATGGGTTAGTGATGGGTTTTGGTTTTGTTTTTTTTATCAGATTTAGGTTGATGGTTGGACTAGATGATCTGAAAGGTCCCATTCCAACCTGGACAATTCTATGATTCAATGATCCAGGGCAGGACCATGCTGGGGGATTACAGCCACCGATCCTTCTTCAACATCCTTGGCAAGTCCCAGGCAGTGGAATTCTATGATCCAAGGCAGGACCACGCTGGGGGAGTACATCCACCAGTCCTTCAACATCCTTGGCAAGTCCCAGGCAGTGCAGGAAGAGGAACTGGTGTGCTGGTGGCTTATGGTTGTCCTGTGGAAGGTGTGGTGCTTGTGGTGCTGAACTAGGGTAGAAGGTAGCTGGGTCTTGCCTGTTTCCATCATCCCAGGGTGTTGCTGCAGGCTTTAGAGGACTTGGTTGAACAGCAGTCCGTGCTGCTTTTCACTGAATTTCACAGAATTTTTAGAGTACTTTAGAGGACTTGGTTGGACAGAAGTCCGTGCTGCTTTTCACTGAATTTCACTGAATTTTTAGAGTTGGAAGGGACCATAGAGATATCTAGTCCAACTCCCCTGCTAAAGCAGGACCACCCAGGGCTTGTCAGAGCATGTTACTCAGGAGCATCCAGGCAGGTCTTGAAAATCTCCAAAGAAGGGGACTCCACACCCTCCCTGGGCAGCCTGTTCCAGGGCTCACCATGAAAAAGTTCTTCCTCATATTCAAGTGGAGCCCTTTATGTTCCAACTTGTGCCCATTGCCCCTTGTCCTCTCACTGGGAACCACTGAAAAGAGTCTGGTTCCCTCCTCCCTCAGCCCGCCCTTGAGATACTTGTAGGCATTGATAAGATCTCCCCTCAGCCTTCTCTTCTCCAGACTAAAGAGTCCCAGCTCTTTCAACCTCTCCTCATCAGGGAGATGCTCCAATCCTTGAATCATCTTTGTAGCCCTACGCTGGACTCTTTCCAGTAGTTCCTTGTCCCTCTTGAACTGGGGAGCCCAGATAGATACTGATACTGGAGAAGCCATGTCCAACAATCAGGGCAATGAATCACTTTGCTTGTGCTGTCTTTTATGAAGACTGGTTTTGTTATTGTCACGGTCTGTAGATAAGGGGGACATGGAACTGGTTCTGGGATGCTCGAACTCCCATGAGTCACACAGCGATTCAAGGGCAGGTTGGAGGGGGCTTGGAGCAACCTGCTCTGGTGGGAGGTGGGAACTCGATGGTGGGAACTCGATGATCTTTAAGGTCCCTTCCAACCCAAACCATCCTGGGACTCTATGATGTAACAGATGTCGCTGTAGTGTGCGAAGGGGAGGAACGTGTTCTGTGTCGTGCTTGGCATTTCTGTTCTAACCCTGTAATTCCTCTTAAGCAGCCACACCACATCCAGGTGACTGGGGTGGATGGACATCTTGGTGTTTTCACGAGGACACAGTTGTGGCTGCATTGACCGTTTTCCTTCCGAGTGACACTGGGTTTCATTTGTCCCTTTAGGAGCCCTATTATGTCCGTTGCATTAAGCCCAACGATAAGAAGTCCCCCCAGATTTTTGACGAGGAGCGTTGCAGGCATCAAGTGGAATACCTTGGCCTTCTGGAGAACGTGCGAGTGCGCCGAGCAGGCTTCGCCTACCGCCAGACCTACGAGAAGTTCCTTCACAGGTGAGAAAGGAGTGGGCTCTTTGCAGGAGAGTGCGGGGTCTGGGCTGAGGTGTGTGGTTGGGTGTCTCTCTATGAGTGAAGGAGAAGGTTTAAGTCCTCAGGACTTGTGATCTTCTCCCTTGAGCATCCAGATGGTGCTGTGTTGGGTTCAATGTCTGCTGTTGGGTACGAAGACACGGGGGTCTATCAGGGACTGTGTTGCTCTCTCGTTGTGTGGCAGAGGTGTGTATGTGCCACTCAGGCTCTACTTCCTTTCTGCTAAAACTCATTTGCTCTATTACTCTCTGCAGCGGGAACGTGTAATGAGGTTCTTCCCCAGAGCATAACCCTAAAACCGGAGCTAATTAACTTCTGCTTTCTCTCCGAACGTTGTCAAATTGGTGCAGCGAGAGAGACAGACAGACACTGTGTGTCCTGGGAGGTGCTCGACGGCCCAGTGACATTACGTGTGTGTGGGAGGAAACCTCTGGACTTTCAGATGGGAAGTCTGAAAAAGGGATAGTAACATGACCCCATTAAAAATGGTTTTTGATACTTCTCACCCTCTTAATTCCTACCAGACTTGTGACAAATGAGATGGTTTAGATTGAAATTTGTCTTAGGGCTTTGGTAAATTAGCCCGGGTTCTAAGAATTCAACCTCTGGCTGATGAAATAGTGAATTGATTTTTTCCTTCTGTTATTGAATCAAGTGAGAAAAAGGCCGTGAGGGCAGAAAAAAATTAAACTATTGAGGCAGGTGGGATGTCACACGTTAGGAAGCGAGTGCTGGTGGAAGATCCTTTGCTGGTCCTGGATTTTGCCTGGGTATTTTGCGACACCTGAAGTGGAAGGAAAGGGTTTGGTTTCCTACACCCAGCCCACAGAGCCGTGGATCGGCTCCCTTAAACATCGTGCTTTCGCCCTCACATGTGGAATCCATTACAATTTACTCCTAAGATTTGTGTCATTACTATTCATGTAAACAGCTGCTTTGTTTTTAATGAATGTTTGATGAGCTTCTCGAAGCTTAAGACCAGGAGTGGTGTTTACAGCCAGTAAAACCAAATTAGCACGTGGCGACTGGTGCCCCTTTCAGGCTATTGCAGCGTTTGTTCTGCTGGACCCTGGAGTGGGATTAAACATCCACAGTGTAAGGTATCAGACACACTATTTGCATATCACAGCGTTGCTCCAAGTCCAGTCTATGCTGACTTTTCTGAATTAAAAAAAAAGAAAAAAAGAAAAAAAGTCTTCTGGCCTGGATATTGTTTTTATTTTTGCCAGAATTCTTTGTCCCTTGTCTCTGGGTGAGCCGTACCCTTTGGCTGAGCCGTACCCCCCTACAGGGGCTGGGGAGTATCATTTGTGGTACAGAGAGCTCGTTTTCTGAGAGGTTTTTAACAGGGATCACAAAGGGGTTTCTGCTTCTTTATATTTAACAGGTTTATTGGGAGATTGGGGATGTTGGGGGGACCCCAGGCCCTGCAGCTCTGGGCTCTGGCACTGCATGCGCTGACTTTTCTGAATTTAAAAAAAAAAAAAATAATAAACAAAGTCTTCTGGCCTGGATATTGTTTTTATTTTTGCCAGAATTCTTTGTCCCTTGTCTCTGGGTGAGCCGTACCCTTTGGCTGAGCCGTACCCCCCTACAGGGGCTGGGGAGTATCATTTGTGGTACAGAGAGCTCGTTTTCTGAGAGGTTTTTAACAGGGATCACAAAGGGGTTTCTGCTTCTTTATATTTAACAGGTTTATTGGGAGATTGGGGATGTTGGGGGGACCCCAGGCCCTGCAGCTCTGGGCTCTGGCACTGCACGGGGGGCACATTTGAAAATGGAGAGTAACTCAGTGATTTTGGGCTGTAGCTGTGCCATCTGTTTGCAGAAGATCTTCTAGAAGTTCAGACCCACAGACAGACGTTTAATCCCTCACGGGTCCCTGAAACTGTCAGATTTCCTGAGCCCAAACCAGATGCCTGTGTTTTGTTCTGCTGATTCCTCTTGGAGGGGACAGGAGATATGTATTGGGATAGAGAGAGATGAGAGATACATATGTGTGTGTGTATATATATGTGAGTGCATGTATGCCTTATTTTATATAGATATATATATAAAAACATATATAAGAAGTCACTTTCCTTTTTGTAGGAAAAGAGTTTGTTACTACTTAGCACTAAAATACTGTAAGGTAGTTGACATCCCATTCCTATCAGTAGGAAACGAAGTGAGGCACAGTTAAGCCCGTTAATAAATGTCCTTTGCAAGCTTTCCTTGAAATTAAGAAAACCCAGAGCTCTGTGGGAACCACTCTGCCCCTACCAATTTGGAGAAAGGAAGATCTAAATATTTTCCTGTTGCCCAAGAGATGCTGCGTGGTCACTTGGGAACTGCATCTCCCGGTTGTGTGAGGTGCGTGTCAGGACCGTGTGTCTTAAATAGATGTGAGGCATTCTTCGGTTTTAATATATATAAAGCAAAAAGAAATATATATAGCAAAAAGAAAAAAAAGAGAAGCTGCTTGGATTTCAGAAGGGGGGTGTGTGTGTGCGAGGCATCTGCCAGTGTAACCCAACACTTGCCCCTCAAAAGCATCCTCCTGCCCATTCCCAGGCGTTTAAATGTAACGTGGAAACCCCACGTAAGAGCAGGACCCAGCTTCATGGGCACAGCTGGTATTTTTCATTAAAACTTCATAATTTAGCACCTCGCAAAACTCTTGGTCCTTAGGAGAGTTATACTGGGAATTGTAAGCCCCAGTAGCCACTGGTGTCTGCTGGGTGGTCCTATGGCCACGTACGGAGAAGGAGGAACAAAGGTGGTGTAGAAATGGGTGTTTAATGGACAAGTGACCTTGGAAGCTGTAGGGATCTCCGGGCAGGAGAGGGGCAGGGCTGTGGTGTCAGTGAGCAGGTTTATTTTGGGTTCTGCTCGCTATAATTAGCCAGGGGGGAGGACAAGGACCGCTGGGGCACCTGGGTCCCACTCTCAGCTGTGGGGCATCACCCCCCACGTGCCTCTGGAGGGATACGGGGATGCCACCACGTCCCACCGCCTGTGGGCTGGGAGGGAAGGGGCCCCTTTGCCTCGGGGTGGCTTTAAATACCATAGTCCTGCTTTTGTGGTGAAGAAGGAATAGAATGAAACATGAACCTGGGGGTTCTAGTTGCCAAAGGGCTGAATATGAGCCGGCCGTGTGCCCAGGGGGGCAAGAAAGCCAATGGCATCCTGGCTTGTATCAAAAATAGTGTGACCAGCAGGAGTAGGGAGGTGATTGTGCCCCTGTACTCAGCACTGGGGAGGCCACACCTCGAGTGTTGTGTCCAGTTTTGGGCACCTCAATCCAAGAGAGATCTGGAGGTGCTGGAGCGAGTGCAGAGGAGGCAACGGAGCTGGTGAGGGGGCTGGAAAACAAATCGTCTGAGGAGCGGCTGAGGGAGTTGGGGCTGTTTAGTGTGAGGAAGAGGAGGCTGAGGGGAGACCTCATCACTCTCTACAACTACTTGAAAGGTCTCCGTAGAGAGGTTGGTGCTGGTCTCTTCTCACAGGTAATTAGTGACAGAACGAGAGGGAATGGCTTCAAGCTCCAACAGGGGAGGTTTAGATTGACCATTAGGAAGGAATTTTTCACCGAAAGAGTGGTCGGGCATTGGAACAGGCTGCCCAGGGAGGGGGGGGAGTCCCCATCCCTGGCTGTGTTTAAGGGCCGTTTAGATGCAGTGCTGAGGGACATGGTGTAGGGGAGGACTTTGTAGAGTAGGGGAGATGGTTGGACTCGATGATCCCAAGGGTCTCTTCCAACCTAGACCATTCTATGATTCTATGACTTGGGGGGTTTTCAGTTCTTATCCCTTCTCCTGCAGGGCCCTTCAGTTCCGCGGGGCTTTGCGCTGCCCACTCCCCTTGGGGTTTTTTTTTCTCTCTCCTAATTTAAACGTCTCGAGGTGGAAGATTTTCCCAGTGAATTAATTATGGCAGGAACATTTTCCTGATGAGAATAAGAAAGAGAAACCCATGTGAAATATTTATGTCCTGCGTGCACGTGTGTGTGAGGGGAGGGATTCTTCTGCCAGCCAAGCATAAATGCAAAATTTTCTGTGGTGAGCCTGTCTGAGGGGGGTTTTTAATAAGCCTGGTTTATTTATCAGTGAGATCTGTGTGCTGTCACCCTCACGCTGAGGGGCTTTCCTGCCCAGACACGGGGTGCACCTCCATTTTCCCCTCCCCAGCAGCGAGTTCAGAAGGGCTGATGTGATGAATGGAAGCGACAGTGTGATGTATTTCCGTTCAGGCTTATTTTAGTAACTCCTTCAGCTCACCCACTCCCCAGCAAAAAGCTTTATTGCTGCAGCCGTTTAACGGGTGCTGAAATTTCTGAGTGTCTCAAACATTGAGATTAATGCTTTGACTCGGCTCGTGGGCTTTAAACAGAGAAGTGGCTGAGAGCGCTGCGTGCTTGTTTTATTTAGAATGGGGATGTGGGTCCTATTACGGTGAAAATGTCGATTACATTTTTGATTATGTCCATAAATCTTACGTGGAAAATTCGTTCTTGCTTTTTGCAAATGTCTATTTGCCTGATCAGCATTTTGCAAGGCTGGTAAATCTTGCGGAGAGCAGAGTCTGATGCAGTTATTCTCCTGTTTGGTTTGTGGTGGTCTCAGTTCCAATCTGTGTCCTCTCTCTCTCTCTCTCTCAGTGTCAAAAGAGCTTGGGAGCGTTGGGACGGGAGGGAATGATTGAACAGCAATTCCAGGCAGGAGTGGTGTTTGCACAGACTCTGCTGCTTTGGGAATGTCCTGGTTTGAAGGACATTTAGTTCATTCGAAACTTCTAAATCTCCTTATCTCTTCCTCCCCTCTCTTTTGGGGGAGGGTGGGGAAGGGCCGTCTGTCATTCTGGTTTTGGTAAATTTGGCCGAAACCACGAGAGATAAATAATAACATTTGTTAGAAATAGCTACAAAAATGATGGACAAGAACGTTATTTGCAGAATTTTTAAGTCTAGGTTTTCTGACTGAACAACTGTTTACAGTTGGCTTCTTATGCAGAATGGGAGCAAACCAAAGCTTTTCTTCCTCCCAAAAACATTTTGAATTGTGTGCTGAAAGTGTGAGTAATGGAGCTGCCGAATCTGCAGGGGGACAGTGGGGAGGTCTGTTGTGTTCCATCAGGTCGGTGTTGACAAAATGAGCTTCTCTCAATATTTTTTCCAGCGTCTCACAAAATCATGCCTCATGTTCATTTTCCCTGGATTTTGAGGATCATGATTCATTCCTTACACGGGTTGTCTTGAGGCTCTTCGGTCTAGAATCATTTTTATTAGAATTTAGATCATAATTCTTTCTAAAACACGTTGAAGGTTGGCTTCTTGAGAACCCAGATGACAAGTTTAGGTTTGTAAATTGTACCTTGTAATTCCAGGTACAAGATGATCTCGGAGTTCACTTGGCCGAACCACGACCTCCCTTCGGACAAAGAGGCGGTGCAGAAGCTCATCGAGTGCCACGGGTTCCAGCACGACGTTGCTTATGGCAAGACCAAGATTTTCATCCGCACGCCCCGCACTCTCTTCACCTTGGAGGAGCTGCACGCCAAGATGCTTGTGAGGATTGTCCTCTTCCTACAGAAGGTAAAGCTTCGTTTACTCCATTAAAAACTCCGTTCACGTTCCTTAAAACCTCTTTGCTCCCTTTTCAGTCTCGCTGGCAAAAGTGACAAGTCTGCACAAATTCTGCAATACTGCAGTTTGATTAGGACCTCATTTTTTCCAAGTTCTTGTAGCAGCACAAGAACTGAAGTTACTGCACTGAAGTCCTGGTGTGGTGTGATGGACCATGAGCTGTAGGAGCTGTAAGATTATTGGATACTGTTTAAAAGACTTGCTCTTAACTCAGTGCCAGTAGCCTGCCTGGAAACTTAGAGGACCTTTTGGGCTTGGATGTTTGAGAGTGATGCACAATGGATGCTGAGAGTCTAACGTGTAAAAGTTCACTAATGGATCTGTAGCTGAATGTTTAAGAGTGATGCACAATGAGTTCTGAGAGTCTAACATGTGTAAAAGTTCACTAATGGATCTGTAGCTGATGGTATCCATCGACTTTAAACCAAAAAAATACATCCAGGGGTGCAGAAAGCAGGGGTGATTTGCACACTAATGGCAATCACTTCCCATAAGAACCTGCCATATTGTGCAACATTGGGGTCTGCAGGTGTTGAGGAGAGTCACAGCACAGGAAGGGGGAAAGCACTGCCCCAGCAGCTTGGGTGTAAGGGTAGCAGAGGGAAAGGCACTCTCCAGAACAGAAAATAAGAGGCCCTTAACATTGAGACACAGTGATACACCTGAGGCACAGAGCAGCAGGACCTGTGCACTTGTCTTTCCCCTCTGAACATGGGGTTTAAGCTTGGGATCTTTCTGGCTTTACCCTTGGGATAAACAATTTTCTATTCTGTGACTTCAGGGCAAGCAGCTTCTCAGACTTTCTCACAAAGGTACACGTGGAAGTCACAGGAGTTTGTTGGGACCTGGCGAGCTCCTAAATCGTTTGGGTGCCTTTTGGGGCTGCCACAACACAATAGAAGGCGGTTTTGTGACCTCAAAAGCAACATACACCAGAGGGGAAAAAAAAATACAAGAGCTGGTTGTAGTACTTGCTGAAAACTGTGTCCTGTGGGAGTGTGGTCTGTCTGGCAAAGGGCAACAGCTTCTGATCGTCACAGCGACAGAAATGGTGGAGCTGGCTTTGTCCCAGCTAACAGGGACCATTGACTAGTTCAAGATTTTTAGAAATGTATTTCATAAAACATGTTTTTTTCCGTTGTCGTTCTTGGAACTCGGGAAACAACAGAACTTCTGAAGCCCTTTTTGCCCGTCAGAAATAGAAACTGCTGACAGATGGGTAGAGAACTGCGCGGAGAAGCCGCCTGCTCCAAAGCTCTGCGCTTACCATACGTCTGCGTAACTTTCCAAACCTGATGGACTGAATCACTCTTGGTGAAGAGTAAGACCCTGGAGGAAAAGTTACCCATTAATAGTTTTGTGAAACACTCACATTTCTCCTGTTTGCAATGCATTTGATGAGATTTCCTTTCTGGAAAGCAATGCAATTTGACCAGAGTGGAAGGAGAAAGTGTCAAAGCCGGGGTTGCATCTCTGTTGGTATTTGTTGTGCCAGATTTGCATGGTTCATCTTTATTAAGGAATTTTGTCAGTTTTGGATATATGTATGTGATTAGTTTTTCTGGAAATGCAAAGCTCAGGCTGCCCAAAGGATGCAGGATGTGCCCAATTTTGAGCTTAGCGGTTCAGTCTTTTCTTTCCTTTTTATAGCAGTGTCGGGCTTGCCCTGAGGATGGGCTTCCCAACAGCTTCCTCGGACTACTCGTCACCTCCTTCCAGGTCTCATCCCTGGAAATGGAGTACTTTCCCAAAAGTGTATTCTGGCTGCTGCTTTTGGAGTGAAATGGAGCTGATAACATTTTTCTGGATTATTACTTGAAATTCCACCATGCTCGTGGTGGTTTCTTGGGAGGAGTCCCCTCTCTGCAGCCACTTTTCTAAGTGCTTTGGGCTTATTTGGTGCCTTCAGTGAGTTCACTGGGTCGTGCCATTGATCTGGAGTCTCTCTCTCTTCCCATAGTGGTATGAAGCAAGTAATGAGCTCCCCGAATAAAGCTGGAGGAGGGACACCTTGCTCCCAGGTGACCCTGGTTTTCATATTAAACACCTGAGGAGTTGAGAGGGGACCGTTTTTGAAACTGAAAGGTGCAGTTACTGAAGAATAATTTGAAAGACCCAGCCTGTGTGTGCTGTGGAAACATGATGTCTCGCTGCACGGTGAGCACTGAAGCTCCTCCTTCAGCTAAAATCCACCCAACGGTGTGAGGTACAAATTGGACATCAACATGTCCATTTTTGTGAGTTTGCTGACCTTTCCTTTAGATGGAAACTTCAGAATTCTATAGTCTGGGCTGTGATCTGGGCTGGGCTCAGCAGCCTTGAAGAGCAGGGCTACAGATGCTTTGCCTTTAGGAGGTAAGTACCTGATTAGGAATAACGGATGGACTCTCTGGCGCTGGGAGGGGTTTTGCTATAATGGTTTTGTGTGGCATCAGGCCTGCTGGGTTATATGTGGAATAAATGTAGTGCTTTTGGGGCTTCTCTTATTGTGACAATCAGCAAAAGTGACTGAAGTTAAACTCTGGTGCCTGTTGTCCTGTGGGTTCACAAGTCTCCCTCCCCTCATTCCTCCTCGCCCTGGAGTGGAGAGAGACCAGTATGAGTCTACATGGAGAGGTCTGTCTCTTTTGCATGAAGTGTTGAAATAGGACAGCTGGAGTCATCTTTTTGTTATTTCTTTCTGAGAAATCTCTTGTGAGGTTCTAATTTACTCAATAAAAGATTTGTGGGGAAAAAAAAAAGCTCATTCTCAAGTCCCCAAGGTACTGAAGACTTGGAAGAAAACTGGGTGGCCAGAGCTCCCTGACCAGAGTTAAATTCCGGTGCCTGTTGTCCTGTGGGTTCACAAGTCTCCCTCCCCTCATTCCTCCTCGCCCTGGAGTGGAGAGAGACCAGTATGAGTCTACATGGAGAGGTCTGTCTCTTTTGCATGAAGTGTTGAAATAGGACAGCTGGAGTCATCTTTTTGTTATTTCTTTCTGAGAAATCTCTTGTGAGGTTCTAATTTACTCAATAAAAGATTTGTGGGGAAAAAAAAAAGCTCATTCTCAAGTCCCCAAGGTACTGAAGACTTGGAAGAAAACTGGGTGGCCAGAGCTCCTTTTCTGTAGCTTCTGAACCACCAGCTGTGGTTCATAGAATCACAGAGTGGTTTGGGTTGGAAGGGACGTTAAAGCCCCCTCAGTGCCACCCCCTGCCCTGGGCAGGGACACCTCCCACCACACCAGGTTGCTCCAAGCCCCCTCCAACCTGCCCTTGAACCCCTCCAGGGATGGGGCGATCTTTTCACCTCTTTAACTCTACCAGCTCCTTGGCTTTCATCTCTCTCCAGCTCTGCCCTTTACCTCTCCTCCCATCAGCAATGACTTCCAAGCAGGCCCACCCACTGCCCAGCTCTCCACAGCAGCTACAGGAAGACTTTTTTTCCCCTTTACCATCGTATTTTGCAGCTCCAGGTCCCTGGGTGACTGTCTTTACTGTCATATTTTGCAGCTCCAGGTCCCTGGGTGACTGCCTTTGCCAGCGTGAGCCCAGCAGTGTGTCTTTGCTGTGCTCAAGTGAAGGAGCAGCAGGAGCTCTAGAGCACAGTTCTGTGTTGGGTCATGGAATCATGGGATGGTTTGGGTGGGAAGGGACCTTAAGGACCATCCAGTGCCACCCCCTGCCCTGGGCAGGGACACCTCCCACCACACCAGGTTGCTCCAAGCCCCCTCCAACCTGCCCTTGAACCCCTCCAGGGATGGGGCAGCCACAGCTTCTCTGGGTTAAATTTCCCATCCTTTCCCTGGTGTCTCTGTTTCCATTTCCTGGCCGTTCTTCAGCCAGGCTCTGAGATGCCAACAAAGCGATGGAGAGGAGCTTTACAGTCCTGGAACATGCAACTAAAGACAAGAAACACTAATAAATCTAAATGCTTAATAAACAGCTTATCAACAAACAAGCAGGTGTTGGGTTGATGCCTATAGGTATGTGATTAGATACCTTGTACGGTGGTAAATTTAGCTGGAAAAGGCTGGATTTTTTCTTCCATGTTCTCTGTTTCTCTTGTTTGGCTGTTAGATGTGGCTCTGGGTGTCAGATCCCTCCTGTGCTCAGGCACCAGCCCCGCGCTGCTGCTGGTAGATGGGGCAGCTGGTGACTGGTGGCACTGGAAAGGTGACAATCAACACAACACAGAGTAAAATCAGAGGAAGGACCTGGAGAGGCCTTCACTGTGCTCTGAAAACATCCAGGCAGTTTTGTCTGTATCTTAATTTCTGTCTTCAACTTGCTTTCGGTTGTTCATGAAGAAATCCCATGAAAAATGTAATTCTTGCTGCATTTTCCTTACGTTATTTTTGTCTATAAGCATCAAAGGCCGAGGGAGGTAAAGTGTGCTACTTCTGAGAGTCATAAGATTATATCTAGAAAAAGAGAGAGAGATTAATCTGACTAAAAAAAAAATAAAATTGAGCCTTCTGTTGCATTGGAATTCCTTAAATTTGAATTTAGGAAAAGACACCTGGAGATGAGGTGTGGTGCTGTGACAGCAGGAACTTGTGGGATGGAAACTGAGGGGGAATGTGAGGTGTAGCCTTAAAATGAGCCGCTCACAGCCTGGGCTCCAACAGCCACTGGGTTTTTGAGAGAAAGATCTGCAAATAATGCATGTAGCACTGCTGTTTCTTGGTAGATTTAAAGGTACATCTTCCTTTCGAAGTGATATATATTATGGGGTGTACTGCTGTCATACAAATCATGAGCCTTTCAAAAAGACAGTCAGTAATTATCTTAAGAGCTTCATCTCCTGAGTAACCCTTAACCCTTAAAATAATGCTGGTTCCTTTGTTTAGCAACGAAGAAGAATTTGCTTCGTGTGAGCGTGGTTAAATTGAATTAAAGCTGACTCCCAGTTTAAGTAGGTGATTTTGCTCTTTTGTTCCTCGTCTCCTGGATGTGTCTTCTCCTCC